TGAACATAGTACATACGCAATAGTTGTATCACTTGAAAGTGTCTTTCTCCCGAGTTAATAAGTGTATCATATAAATACTTACCTAAATAATAGTGTTATGGCTTCTGAGGATATATTCCAAGCATGAATATTTTGTGTCTATTATTGCGCGTCTTTCGTAATCTACCAAATCAGACAATTCTAGGCTATTTCAATGCAAGCGGTTGATAGTACATATGCAAAAGTAGTATCGCTTGAAAGTGTCTTTCACCCGAGTTAATAAGTGTATCATATAAATACTTACCTAAATAATAGTGTTATGGCTTTTGAGAATATATTCCAAGCATGAATATCTTTTGTCTATTATTGCGTGTCTATCGTAATCTACCAAATCAGACAATTCTAGGCCATTTCAAGGAAAGCATACACAGCAGCTACGCAATAGTAATATCGCTTGAAAGTGTCTTTCTACGGAGGGAATAAGTGTATCATATAAATACTTACCTAAATAATAGTGTTATGGCCTCTGAGGATATATTCCAAGCATGAATATTTGGTGTCTATTATTGCGCGTCTTTCGTAATCTACCAAATCAGACAATTCTATGCTATTTCTAGAAAAGCTGAACATAGCACCTACGCAATAGTAATATCGCTTGAAAGTGTCTTTCTCCTGAGGGAATAAGTGTATCATATAAATACTTACCTAAATAATAGTGTTATGGCTTCTGAGGATATATCCCAAGCATGAATATTTTGTGTCTATTATTGCGCGTCTTTCGTAATCTCCCAAATCAGACAATTCTATGCCATTTCAAGGAAAGGTACATAGCAGCTACGTGATAGTAATATCACTTGAAAGTGTCTTTCTCTCGAGTTAATAAGTGTATCATATAAATACTTACCTAAATAATAGTGTTATGGCTTCTGAGGATATATCCCAAGCATGAATATTTTGTGTCTATTATTGCGCGTCTTTCGTAATCTACCAAATCAGACAATTCTATGCTATTTCAATGCAAACGGTTGATAGTACATACGCAATAGTTGTATCGCTTGAAAGTGTCTTTCTCCCGAGTTAACAAGTGTATCATATAAATACTTACCTAAATAATAGTGTTATGGCTTCTGAGGATATATTCCAAGCTTGAATATTTTGTGTCTATTATTGCGCGTCTTTCGTAATCTACTAAATCAGACAATTCTAGGCCATTTCAAGGAAAGCGTACACAGCAGCTACGCGATACTAGTATCACTTGAAAGTGTCTTTCTCCCACGGGAATAAGTGTATCATATACATACTTACCTAAATAATAGTTTTATGGCTTCTTAGGATATATTCCAAGCATGAATAATTTTTGTCTGTTATTGTGCATCCTTTGTAGTTCCCCAAATGAGACAATTCTTCCCCGCTTCAAGGCACTTCAAGTATGCAAAAACACCTACAACATACACAATAGTGGTATCGCTGGACATGCTCTTTCTCCCAAGGGAATAAGTGTATCATTTTCACCTTTTACGCAAATGATAGTATGATAGTTTCTCACGATTTGTTCCAAGTATAAGTATTGTGTGTCTTTAATTCCGCATCCTTGGTAAATCACCAAACAGGTCCATATGGTTTCTTATATGATAAATTATACTTTGTTTCCAAACATATTACAAGAGTTGTTTTCGAGACAATGTGCAAAAATCTTTAACAGAATATGACTGCAGGATTACTTGTTTAATGCTTCAGCTGAAATGTAATCTTAACCCGCTGCCTTGCCACATTTAGCAAGATTCACAGCTGTCTCTACCTCCTCCGGGTTGTATTTGCTTCGAAAAAGATCAGTGTCAACAGGAATAACAGAACTCCTCCACAAGCAACATCCCCTATAATTATCTGGAAATAGGCCTCATTCAAATTAATCACTGTCTTCCTCATTATACAAGGACTGATATTCACTCTTCCATCTATTAAGGGCAACATCTTTATTTGTAATAATACAATCCACCTGGATTACCTCCCCTGGTATAGAGCTGCGTTTTTTCAACAGTTATGCCAATTTAGTGTATTGGTTTAAAAAAATCCCGGCTGGCTGTTTGTTTACATTAATCCAGAAGTCGCTACTGTTCCTTTGATTGAGATTCCTCTCACATTAATAGAGTCACTTTGCCAAATGGTTTTCGCTCATACCCATACCTATGCTTTAAAATCTTCTTCCCAAAGGCAGATTTACAATTACGCCATTCCTGTTCCGAAGAGATTTCATTACCCCATGCACTGGGCCTCGAGTGCGTCACACCAATAAAGGTCTATGAAATGGCTTGTCCTATAACCAACAAGTACTTTTCTGAGCGGTAAACCCAGCTTTCCTATCAAGTTCAAGACACAAACATTATAATATATATATATTCCAAATTATATACAATGGAAAGCGTCCTTCAGGGATTCATCAAACTCTTGCAGAGGTAGATCCAGCTTGTTATATCTATTTTTGAAAATAATCATCCCACAAACCATAACATTATATAATCCGTTTAACTTCAAATGTATATATACTGACAGAAAAAGTAAGGGAAAGATTATAACGAGCAGGAAACGGCTGGTACGTTGTTCCCTTCGGTCCTCACATGGCAGGCTAGATACATTTGTGACAATAAGTTTCAAAAACACTTGGACGATAATACTGACTTTGTGCCCTTCTGTTACTCATGGCATGCTAGATACATCTGTGACAATAAGTTTCAAAAATACTAGGACAATAAAACTGACTTTATGCCCTTCTGTCACTCATGGCATGCTAGATACATTTGTGACAATTATACTGGCTGATGTATTTTCAAGGGCTAAATTTCAGCCTAAATCATATTTACCCATGGTACAATAATCACTGCTACAATTTATTTCATACACTTGTATTGGGAAGCATGCAGAAAGTATCTGGAAAAGCGTTTTTCAAGCATAAATAGCCGAAAACGATGCTTTTGGCTCCGCATTGTAAATTGTTAAGGGTCATTCACATTGCGCTGATTCCTTGACGCATGTGATGCCCAAGGCTTCTTCCAGAGGCAGAATGTTTCGTGGCATGTTTTTCTCTGGTATCTGTTCCTCACAGTGCAACGGGATTTGATGATAAAGTCAATTTTATTATATGGAAATAGTCAATGAAATTCAGACACGTGCCAAGAAGTCAAACTAGCCTTCTGTTATGCACAGTTAGTTCTATCAGACAATCTGTTGTGTATTATTTCTTTCTGTTATTGTTTTTAAAAAGAAATACCTGTTACATAAAATGGGCTTTCACCCAGGGTAGCAGAAAGCCCATGACACATAGCACAACTTATCAGTACATCTTAGATTTTTTTTATGGATATAACATACTTCTCACTCACACATTCACTCTAGTACTACAAATATACTGCATATATCAAGTATGCATAAATTATTGAAGCTTATTTATCATTTTGCAGTGCTATAAAGTACATGGTCTCTAACATTAATGTTTTAGTATGGAACTAAAATTAAAACGGATGCTGCTCCTCATTTTCGAAAAATTCATAATGCCACATCCAAGCTTCATTAAATATCTGCTGATTACCTGTCTTGAAAGCAATATCTTTTTCAAAGTTGTATCTGAAAACCTGCCCTTTTATAAACATGAAAATAAGGTTTTTTATTTTGAAATTTGCTTCTATAGATAATGAATTTTTCAAAAAGTAAATGTAAATGGAACAGTTTATCTGTTTCCATGTCCTCTTTATTAAAGGTTGTGTATTGTTTTGTTACAACAGTAAATGAAAGTAAAAAATATGACATGTTGGTTATAGGGATTACAATGGACTATTATTAATTGAATCTTTCATAGAGTGTCTTTTGATATCAAATATATCAACATGAGTTGATGAAATTGGAAAAACTCTGAGGCTTGCCAACGAGTTTTTCCACTTTTATCAACGAATGTTCATATATTTGATGTGAAAAGACACGATGGTGAGATTTTATTTTTCATCCAACATCATTCTTCCAACTTTTTCAGTTTGTAGACAGTAATATGCAGTAAAAAGTACTGTCAAAAGCTTCAGTGGCAGAGCCATTAGTGATGTCATTTGATTGTAATGTCATGGTAACAATGACATCACAATGGTCTGCAAAGCATTGTGATGCAATTTCATTGCAGCAATATCTACAATGTATACATCACGTGATCTCACCCAAGCGATATCTCCTGTGGTAGCCTGTTTTGGATGATAAAGTTACTTACACTCAAAATTGTCTTTGTTATTGTTTGTAATTGTAATAATCTGTCCTCAAGATCAAATATCCCAACCACTCGGTGCAGCCCACTGACCACTCGCACGCGCCATTGGTCAATTGTTCCTGACATTGAAATGTGTAATTAAAAAAACAAAACAAATTTCCCTACTGTGGACAGCGGAACCATATATAGGGCGTCGTCTACTTTCAACAACAGTGCACTTCCGCACTGTGTTATCTAAACAAATTAATGCACGATCTTATGTACCAGTGCCTCGCCTACTTTTGCCTACAGTGCAATTTGCCAACAGTGTCAACAAAACAACTTTATGCGCCAGTGATTTATGTAATTTCCAGTTTACTCCTTCAGTTACAATGTAGCCTCACACAGGCAGCCGGTTACAATAGAGATGTTACTGTGGATCCATCACACAGTGTCCCTCAATAACAAAGCGAGATCACAAAATAATTCAAGGACAATTTATTGCTGGCAGCAAATAAAATCTTGCTTATATATTGCCCCATGTGCCATCAAGCACCAATGAATTTCCGATTGCACATAAATCCATCGAAATCTAGTTGATACATTTTCCTGTTCAACCTGGATTTACACATTGTTACACATTAGTTACAGCCCACCGTCATATAGCTGAGATATTGCTGTGTGCGGCGTTATGCAACAAACGGTTGCAGTAACTCAAAATACAGTGAGTGAATGGCAAACACTGGTACACTAATCTGCCAGGTGGCGCGTCGGAATTTCTGTCCCGGAAGTGGTGCTAATGTAATGTAAACATGTCGCGCTACAGCTGTTTGACAGTTGAGAAGCTGAAGACAGAGTTGCGATGCAGTGGAGCAACTACACGCGGAGGAAGATCGATTTGATTGAAAGGTATGTAGTTGTACAAGAGATTTTCCAATACTGTGTCAGTTTGTGATGAATCTTGAAAAGTCTTTGTTTTGTTCCACGACCACCCGAGATAACCTGGGAAATCCGAACTGAATGAAAAATGTTCTTTACAAGCTACAGTCCTGGCAAAATAACCATCATTGAAGTTATTTTGGGTATGATCTGATGTTCTTAGTTCTGGCAGAGACCATATACCGAGAGATATCGGTATATGGTCTCTGGTTCTGGGGTTTGACATGACCTGTGACATTTTCATTCTCAATCTAAGTTATAATTCCAGTACTTGGAAAATAGAAATACCTTCTTACACGAGTTCGAATTCAGTTCCAATGAAGGGTCTAGTTGCACAAAATATTTTCATTCATAGTAATTTAATGCATAGTTCAGCTTCATATAAAATTCATATCTCAAATATATACAGGTTTCTTATAAAATTAGTTTCAGATTGGAGTCCTACGACAGGAATAATAACTTCTACCACTGAGAAGGTGACATAAAGTTACCAAAGCCTGTATGATTTGAATCATTGCCAGTCACAGGGTTCCAGCAACTGATGCCATCACACAAAGACAGGTTGTCGCCCATGGCCTCTTCAGATGTCGAGGCATATTTTAGATACGGGTTAGCTGTAGATAATGAAGAGGTAAGTGTGCAATTTGTTTCTATTTGTTACTAAAATTTATTGAAATTATTACCAATAGTAACACTAACATTAACAGATGTATTTAAGAATACATATCCTGTGAAACATACATGAGAAATATTTTCAATAAAGAGATACTAAAATGAGCAAAAGGAAATCTTTTGCTTTCAGACTGCAGATTTGAGAAGGGACATCAACTTTTGAAATCCAATCATGTCCTGGCTTGCAGTGTTGTCATTGATCACCATGCCTACTTCAGTAGTCAGTGCTGCTTTGAAGAAAAAGGTTTGTTGCCTTAGAAACAGATTGGTCATAAGCTCCATTCTCAAGCACATATTGCGTCGTCAGTGATTTATAGTTTTAAATGAGTGAGTAATCATTCACAGTTTTGCTATTCATGATAGTACATTTAAGTCTGTTGGTTAATGCATGTCATTGATCCCAATTTCGTGGATCGATGCTCATGATATCAATCACTTGATTGTCTGGTCTAGACTCGTTTATTTACAGACCACCGTCATATAGCTGGAATATTGCTGAGTGTGGCGTTAAACAACAAAACAACCAACAACCAACCTTTGTGTAAATAATGTGTTATACCATACATAAACAATGACATAAACAGGAATAATGCATAACGTGTTATAAGGATGATAGTAAGATAACTCCATATAACACGTTTTGAATTCCTTCACTTATATCTACAGCTTTCGCATCAAAACAGCAGAATATGGTGGTGGTGAACACACACTGTGAATGCCCAGCTGGTAAAGGTCCCAATGGAACCTGCAAACACCTTGCTTCCTTCCTCCTCATGTTGTCTCAGTTCAAGTCTACAGGTGTGATTGCTGTGAGGTGTGATCCTGCACAGACATACTGCAGACATTCCACAGGCCACAAAAGGAATATTCAGGTACCTTACCATGTTTACTGGGGAGCAAATATATTAGTATTCAAAGTGCTTATACAGCATGTTAAAATGAATTAGTTATCAAGTTTTTTGTGTCAATTATTTTCTTATGAAAATAAAGTTTTTATTCTTTTAAAAAATAGATATTCAGTTCAGCTTTACACATTAAAATAAATTAAATACCCCTTGGTTATATTATCACATTTATTAAAATTAAATATACAGAATGATTATTTATTTCATGACATATGAAACTGATCTTTCTGCTAATGTATTCAGTAGGCATTGATCGTAACGCTTAAAAATAATTACTTTAAAGCCTCACATGTTATTTCTGCAGACCATAGTTGTGTGATCATCACTCTTTCAATTGTTTCTCCCGTTGCGCGTATACCCCAGATTATGAATTGTCTCAAATTATGACAATTTCACTTCCTGTATCTATCAAATTGAAAATAGTGCTTATTGGCTGTTTCTACATTCAAAAGTTAAAAACTAATGTATCCCAGTATCAGTAATATGTTTTCAGCAAAAAACTTATTCCTCTTCTTTTTTCACCTTTTAATAGATTCACCAAAGAAAGCAGTCTCATTCAAGTGTGGGGCGAAGCAGCCATCAATGTTTGATGACCCAAGACTGTCAAAATACAGAAATAGTACATCTTATAGGGACCATGTGCAAAACATCACCGTCAGCTAATGCTCTTCAGCGTCTGAGGATATCACGAACAGATACCTGTTTGAAAGAGCCAGTCTGTCATCTGCAGTAACAGATCATGACTATCTGGAAAGCCCTTCACTGGGTGGAGAGAGCCTTGAAGGTATTTTACACTCATGTTTTCCGTAATTGTAGCTGAAGAGATCTTCAATCCTGAGATCTATGTATTCTTACAAATCACTAATTTAAGTTATTACTTTTTAGGATATCAATAGCTACTGTTTTGTTGCATTCAAATAAGTAATTCTCTTTTTTCTTAAAAAATACCCAATATTATTCATCATATGGTTAGTTCATTTTTTACTGCAGATGACAGATATCTGATCACATTATCTTCAGACTTTGCAGTGTGGTAGTTGATGGTTAGGTTGAATGACATGTCAATGGATTTTTTCTGGTCCCTTTGAGCTAGATACGACATGGTTAAACTGTTTTAGCCATGTTATCTGATTGAATTGTTTTGTTCTGATTTGCAAAGGAGTTTCAACAATGTTATTGATACGTTTTTGCGTGATTTAATGAAATTTTCTTCTGTCTATCTTTGACAGATTACAGACAACCAGGCTGCAGACAAAGACTAGGAAGCAGGCCAAGTGTAGCTTGTGGCATGAAGAGAGGAGATGGAGGTTGACAGCATCTCAGTTTGGGGCAATTTGCAAATGTACAAGGAGAAACAAAACTAAATTATGTAAACAAATTGTCTCCGGAAGAAAACTAGTTTGTAACTCTGTGAGGCATGGGTTACAGCAGGAACCCAAAGCTGTTGCCAAACTTGAGATAGAAATGTGCATTTTAAACAGTTGTGGAATGTTTGTTGACTCTGGACTCCCTTTCCTTGCAGCAACCCCAGATGGTGTCATTGATTGTAATACCATTGTTGAGGTTGTTTAAATGTCCTTACAGTGCTAGAAATGAGGTCATTGCTCCAAGGAAACTCTTTCCCTTATCTTTGTGAGAGAAATGGTCTCATACAACTAAAAGAAGACAGTAATTACTACTTTGAGGTGCAACCCGTGAAGATTCCGGAGTAGAATAGGTCTTCAGCAACCCATGATTGTCGTAAAAGGCGACTGTGCTTGTCGTAAAAGGCAACTAACAGGATCGGGTGGTTAGGCTCACTGACTTGGTTGATGCATGTCATCGATCCCAATTAAGTGGATTGATGCTCATGATAATAATCACTGGATTGTCTGGTCCAGACTCGATTATTTACAGACTGCCATCATATAGCTGTAGTATTGCTGAGTGCGGCGTTAAACAACAAACCAACCAACCAACTTTCAGGTGCAGGGTCAGATGTATCTATCAAAGCGAAAGTACTGCTTATTTGCTGTTTCTATGTTTAAAGACTTCACTTGATGGGGAATACTGTACAGGAAGTTTGATTCCCAGACTCTCATTATTCTTTGAGTCTTTCCTCAAGCCTTATATTGCTACTCACTGCATTTGTTAAGATTCACGAACAAACTTCCTTTTGTGGATTTATACATCCATGTGAAGACCATGTATCTAAAAAGTACTAAAAGTCACATCAAACTTACTTTTGCCTTGCTCTTAAAAAAAATATGTGAAAGTAGTGACTTTTCACAGTTAAGGAATAAAAGTAAATATTTTCAACAATTGAAATCTGGTGATGAGAATGATACAAATATGTACAGAGGTATATCCCTGATTGACACCATGTGTAAAGTAATTATTTGTATTCTTAGCTGTAGACTACAGCAGTTCGATGAAGATTATAACATAACTGACAAGGCCCAGGCTGTATTCAGACCCAACTCGTCCACTATATGTTTACAGGCAAATAGAAAAAAATATACTACTGTCTTTTTTGTGTACTTTTCTGAAGCTTTTGACACTGTTTGATTCTTATATATCACTTGTAACTCTGAAGGATGTTAGAACAAGGGGTAGGTTATATAATGCACTTACATCAATGTAATCCAACTTCTGTGCCTGTGTTAGGAATTCAGTTGGAATAACAAGCTAGTGCTGAAATCTGGAGAAGAACTTATTTCAAGATTATTAAAGATGTTCAAATTAGATTAATCTCTTGATGTTGGAAAAATTCACATTCAATATATTGGCCCTTGTTCAGTGTCTGAAACTCCTTAGGGCCAGCACATTTAAAAAACTGTAGGCCCAGTGGAAAAACTGTAGACCCAAACATTTTAGCTGAAGCAGTTAGACACTATTCCTGCAGCAGGTAGAAATTGTACATCTACATCCCAATTCAAGACATACATACATAAAGAGCAAATCATTGCACCTCCACATTTTTCCTATGGTGTTAGAAAGTTGAATATTTATCATACTCGATTAAGATACATGAAAAGCCAGTTAAATTATGATTTATACAGAATAGAGATAAAATGTGATCCAATATGTCAATGTGGTAATCCATGCGAAAACGCATATCATTATTTATTAAAGTGTCCATTGTACGTCCACCAACGAAAAACTATATTAATAATAATTCGGGACATTTTACAGAACACCGGGAACAAAAATGTTAAATTAGATTTATAAGTTTGATGTTAAATGGAAATGAATGTTTGTCCATTATCGAAAATCAACACATCTTTAAAGCAGTGCAAATGTCATACAAAGAGATTTGGGTAACACTTTAATGTACATATACTAGTCTCTCTTTTGTACATTTCTTGTTATCTTTACACTCATCTTCTTTTCTGTTTTCCTTGTATATGATTTACTGTACAAGCTTTGTAAATACCATGGAGAGGGAGTCCTAAGTTGGATAACTTGTTCCCAATCCATTTCATATTGAATAAAATATGTTTAAATCAATCAGCAGTTAGACATACTCTTGCAATATAAAATTACAAAATACAACCAGTCAACCATAAGCTAAATGATAGATGGAGCCTACATTTAACATGGCAATTATCAGCTTTTAAAACCTTGGAACACTGGCCTTGGGAATGTGGTGGAGCTCCTTTGCAATGAAATTACATGACTGAATGTCTGTCTGACAACCGTGTGATGGTGTTGTACTATTGCAATCATTGTTCAAGTGGTGGAGAGAGAGAGAGAGAGAGAGAGAGAGAGAGAGAGAGAGAGAGAGAGAGAGAGAGAGAGAGAGAGAGCAGATCAGCAAACAAATGTGAAATATTCAATGGTATTTTTTATATAATATCACAGGTACAGTCTTATGTACATATATTCACCATTTCAACTGTTTAAAACACAATAAAGTTGTTATATTTGAACATCACATGTTTGTCCCTAAATGTTGATCCACAATCTATAAACACTTATGCATAAACATGCTTACTTTGTGTGGTTAAACAATGGAACTCAGTAAAGTGTCCCTCTTTCACCAGACTTAGACACACTGCATAAGTAGTCCTTGTGATGAGATGCTTGTCAGATTATCCATGGTATCAGAATGCATCTCACGTCTTCATATCCTATGTACATCTGACTGTTTACACAAATTGCCCGTGTTATTTTGCTTTTTTCTGACTGGTAAAACATGCTTTGTGTGTGACAACTTGGCATATACATGGAAACCAATTTCAACCAGTATGGACAAATATTCACAGGCACTTGTATGCTGATACAATTTTCACCTTTCAACCACCATTTTTCAATTTGTTTGAAACGTCCTCTGCAAAATACGATCATAATTGT